AAAAAAAAAAAAAAAAAATCAGTGGGAACATTTCACTTTTATTTGCAAGTCCTAATTAAAGGTTGACAACAACGCCTGAAACTTTAACACGGTTATTACATCGTCATAACAAATCAAAGTGGTGAGCTCAAACTTTTGAGTCTCTCTTGCAACAAGTGTCAAAATCATTTTCAAACTTGTCAATGAGAGGGGGAAATTATGTATTATTAATCCAATTCATCACACTAGTTTCTTCGAGCAACAACATTTGCCTCGCACTTATGCTCCACCTCTCGAGTGTCTTTGAAAATCTCAAAAAGGGGCTACATGTTAATTTCCTGCCAGCTTTCACTTCAATTAACTGTGGAAGCAAGTTGTTCAGTATAATTCAGGATAATTCAGATTCCTTTCTTCATTCTTTCCAGAGTGTGACTTGCTAGATACCATTTTCCTGTACACCATTAGTTGTCTCTATATTCATAACGCTTCCATGTTACAAGTTGAAAGAGAAAAACCTCTCTATTCTTCGGCATCTTATTGAAAATTGTACACAGGGTACACAGACAATGAACAGACTGGAAGCATCACAATGACTATACTAATGTTTCATCATGATTGTCTGAGTTTTCTATACACAAACCTTGATGCTATTAGTTGTAGAAGTAATTATATACACATTTTTCATGTAGGGCCTGAGTAAAACTTACCACTAGTTAAATGAAGGATAATGAGTCATAATTTGCCTCTTTGAAAAACAGCCTCATTATTGAGAGAGACAGAGTGGTGGGAACAATGACAAGCATAACACAAACAGTATGAACAATATGTCAATTCTATGACCAAATAGCGCTAATGTTTGAGTAGAAGAGCCTTGTCTGACCTGATATCATGTGGGAGTCCTGACTGCTCCAGACTGTACTGAATAACAGCTATTTTGCATAACGTCTTCAAATTAGGGCCTGAAAAGAAGAGAAAGTGTAATGAGTCATAGACTGATCATAGACACTAATCATACCAGGCTAAGAATATCCATTTCTGCTGTGGGAATTCAAAATGGAGCCAGGCAGGTCAGATCTAAGAATCTGCAGATGAAAGGGGTTAGATTTCCTCTCTATGATGTAAAAATTACCATGTTCTGTTTATACCATACCCCAGAAAAACAGCTGAAGCAAACAACAGTGTTCACATATGAGTAGATGTACAACATTATGATACTAGAATTAAATCATCTTCCTCTCTAATACTTATTACAAACTTCCTCTCAATTACTATCGCCGTCATGGCTGTTCCACCATATGCTCGCTGATAAACAGTGCGAAGGCACACGCGACTGGCACGTGGAGGCGTGTGCCACAGGGGATGCCACTGGGTACTGCCAGTCCCATACGGTCCCTGTGTCGCTGTGTAAGCCCACCTACACAAACCCTAACTGTGACCTGACCGCATTACAGACTACACCAGTGCAGACAGGAAATGGCTATATTTGGTAGCCTGTGAGACGGAAGTACCCCATGTGATAACACAAAGCAGGGCCAAGGACAGGCATACTAGGCCAGGTAAGAAATGAAGCAGTGGTGTAAGGAGGGTATTGGTTCTATAAAAAACACTGAGGAGATCATCAGACATAAAATATGGGGTGGTATAAGTGGATTTATGCATCTGACTAAACATTTTCAAGATCAGACACCTTATTAAGCTAACATAAGAGATATAAGAGACATAGATAATGACAAGAATACTTACTGAAGTCTAAGATATACAGGTCTGAATGATCCATGAGGTTAAATTCATCACCCATTCCTTGCTCTGGACAGGGGCTGTAAAGAGAACAAAACATTTTTTTTTATATAAATTATATTTTTATAAAATTAAAAAGTCAAAAATATATCGAAACTTACAAGTAAAGCTTCAAACCTACCCCAGGACAACAATACCTCCTTAAATCTGTTTGTTTCTGTCTGTTTTGCCAAGGTTGTATTCATAGTTACTTTGCTGTACTATTTGCTCCCAATTACTTACCTCGTCATGCACCCTCTTACCATCTTTTTTAAATGACTAAGGTTCATAATCAGGGAGCCACAGACTATTCCCCAAAAGAGCAGGGCTGTTAATGCAGTGCTCTGCTCTCCTTATCATTGGCATGGCATGATTTAAGCCCACAGGAAGTACAGCACTGCAGTGAGACAGCAGGCTGGTCCATGCTGATAGTCTCCCAGACCTGTGCAGCCGTTGATATCACTGCACATCTGTTTCCTGCCAAAGCTAAACACACACACACACACACACACACACACACACACCTGTGACACACCTGGTGCACAGCAGCTTAGAAAGCCTATCTGCATCACAACGATCTTCAGTCACCATCTTTGTATCAATTAATTAGTTAAGATGCAAAACTCTGCGACTGTATAAAAAAAACTCAACTGAAAGTAACTGCTGCAGTCTGTGGGAGTTGAACTAACATTTTAGGGAAGATTTATTCCCCCAAGGCAGTATATTCCTGTAAATGTACTCAATGCACATCATTGCTGTACATCCATAACAACAGCGCACCAAGAGACCTGTCCAGATTAGTGGATAAAAATGCACTTTACAGTTTTACACTACCCAGAGGACAGCTTCAGCCAAACAGGTGCATTTAGCAAGCAGTTTAGTGTCTATAAATATCTATCATGGAGAATAACTGAGGGATTGGGCAGGTTTGGACTTTAACAATAGCTTTACAAGGTGCTTTCTGCTACGCATGGAGTGGCCAGTGGCAAAAGTCCAAAGACACCATCAGATACCACTACAGTACTCTTGGCAAGCTAGTATAAACCTTGGAATTACATTTATCACATTTCCCTTTTGCTTCAATCTCTTTCCATTTTCCCTTCTTGTCTAAATTCCTACTGAACACAATATACTACCTCCTCCACTGTCTCTCCACCCATCAATCTCTATTCCTCTTTCCCGCTGTCCTCTCCATCGCGTCTCCCTTTGCTGCGTGTTCAGGATGTTGTAAGGGTTTTACGTTGCTAATCTTCCCTAAACAAACATAGTAGTGGCTTAAAGCGGCCAGGAGAGGTGCAGAGCACGAGCGCAGTCGTCCCAGGGGGCCAGCTGGGGAAGTCATTACGCCCCCTGCCCCCCAGGAGGTGATCCACCCGGGCTTACAGCATGAGCCTTTATCAGAATACCCTCAGCCATCCAAGCCCCCCTATAATCATTAGATTGCCTACTCCGGGACCTGCCATTCATTGCTGGTTGTAACATTACTGCGGTGATGAAAATGGTAGTTTACAATGCTGGCTGAACACTAATAAGGACTTTTTAATACACAATAAAAAGAGAAGATGTAGCTGTAAAAACATTTGACTGATTGCTAAAAAATGCCACTTAGTCACAAATTCAGCTTGTTGAATATTACAACCTATTTATCTGGTTTTACATCTCATACACATAGTGATTATTCATTACCAGTGCTCATTGTGCAAAGACAAAAACTGCTATACCACATTACAAACAGGATCAATTTCTAATGTTTATAGGATGCATTAGATTCATGTGTGGAAATTACACTTACATCAGCAGTCCGTCTCCATAACAGAAGCAATGAAAATTAGAATCTCTATCTAAGGAGCACACTGCAGTAGCTGTCAACTACTGTGCAAGCTCACATGGAGAGAAGGTAAAGGCCTTGGATGATGACGCGTGAAAGGGTGTAGATAAGAGGACGCTTTAACAGGAGCAACGAGAGAGAGAGATGAAGATTGCATTCATTGGACAAGGCTTTCTCGCATGTTCGTGGATAATGTCAGCCTGGGTGTGAAATTCAGCAGAACATTAAGGAATGGTAACACTTTATTGGTCATCGCAAAAAGAAAGAGGCTGAGGGGGATTGCAGCATGGGGAAGGAAAAGAGGGATGGTAAGAGGTGTGGTAAGATAGACTGGCAGTGGTTGGAAGCGGGAAAGTCACAGTGTGACTTTATGTGGCATCCTGGTGTTTGATGGGTCACTTTGTTACTCGATCAGCAAAGTATCAGTGTTTGTGAAAGTGCTCCTCCCCCTATAGCAGCAGTGGTTCCCAGTCTGAATGAGGCCTGAGTGATGGCGCTCCCCCACTAAAAAAAACACTGTTTGCTATTTCAAACAACACTCAATGAGGGTGTCTAATCACCCAATTGCCAGTTCTAGCAATGCACTGCCTGCTCCACCTCATTATCTTGCAAGCCTAGGTCTCAAAACGGTAGAAGAAAGAGCTGAACTGCAGTCCCAAAACTAATGAGGGGACAACATTGAGCCTGGGAACACTCCAATTAGTTTCAAGTGTCCAGGAATTTAATTGCTCACAAATTTTGCAAATTACTCCCAGAAACAGACACAATGCAAATTAACTCCATCAGTAACACCTCTGCTTTCTAAACACAAACTGGTGTCAATATAGCTGGACCCCATCCTGTCGTAGGCATGTTTTCAGTGGCTTCATTGGCCGTATCCTCATTCTTGGAATGATATGATCTGCATCCTTTTCCTTTCTCCACTTCCTATTGAACTTTGGTCCTTCAGAACCTTGTAGCTCACAGGAACTCATCACGCACTATAACTTCCTGCAGAGCACCTTATCAGGACAGCCAGACATTTATGAAATTATTTCAGCACCGCTTTTGAGTGAAAACATGGTCAGGTAGTGAACAAAGAAACAAGACAGCAATTTGCAAATGACTTCTACATAAATAAGCAACATATAAAGCACTGCATGTTTAGTTGGATACAAGCATACCAGACACAGAAAACAACATTATTTAAAAAATAATGTAAAGTAGTAGTAAAGTAAAAATATATGACTGTGGCTGGGCTGTGGCAGGACTGTTGTAGTGGTGGTCTTCTTGACCATGGTAGGTGGAAAACATTTCTCCAAAAAGATTGTAGCATTCATTTTGCTTCTCAAAGGTTTAGCTGTATGCCTTACACGTCAGTAAAAAATACTGGCGAAAGCAAACCCACATAATGGATCTGATAGACAGGGTTTACTGGACTGTTAAGAATCCTGCAAGAGTTGCCAAAGATTTTAGAGCTATACTTTCTTAAACTAATCCAACAGACTTGGTTATCACAGATAAATAAATTCCCGTCCATTTCTTTTGCCTTAATCTCGACTGTCTCACCTCGTCTTACCGAGCTATCTGTGCCCCCTCCTGGGCAGTGGCTGGACAGTGGATTAAGACCTATAGTTGCCCAGACCTAAGCCCCATGCAGAGGGTGAGACAGAAACTACAGCTGGCTCCCAGAGAGAGACGCCTGGCTTCAGATTAGACAGAGAAGATGCCAGCCGCTAGTGAAGCATGCATCTCAAATTGCAACCCCTGTGGGCAAAATGTAGTTGGACTTGGTGGTGTATTGCAGAGGAAAACTGGCCCCCCAAATCTCAAACAAATATAAATTTAGTCCCCTAAATCTGGACAGGTTGTTATCAACCTAGTTTGCCTATAAAAAAAATAAAGAGGAGCTTAAATTGGGTTTTAGGACCTTGAACACAGGTGGTTAATATAGAGGGGAAAGTCTAAAGGGCATGTCAAATTTTCCTCTATAGCTGGCAGATGCATTTTGAAAAATTAAGTTACTTCCTTTATAGCCACAATCTGAAGACTAGCGTCAAGGTCGGCTACATAACAGGAGACACTCAGAATAGAAAATACTGAAGGACATACAGTGGCTAAAGACCATAGTTTTAGTGTACTGTGTGGTTATGATTCATCTGTCCTTCTATCAGAATACCTTATTAATAGAGTTTTGCAAGTGATTACCTTTTCATCTCCTGCTCTTTACTATTGCTACAAGTCTACATTAGTCTCAGAAAGGTCTTTTTAACTGATGGGTTGTTTAAACATGACTTGCGGACTGTGAACAAATAGCCTCATATTATGTTAAATCAGTGGGCTGGTGTGCTTCGCTCGTCATTGTTTTGTCTACATAGCATGGCATTGTTCTACAGAAAGGGCCTAAAACCACCAAGAGGTGTTTAGCTTGTGGTGATAGTAGTAAATCACAAGTTAAACTACTACTATTTAGACATGTGAATTTATGTGAACAACAGCATCACAAAGCGTCGCCTATGCAAGCTGTTTATTTGAGCTGCTGTGTAACACTCAACCCTATGACACCTTAATGTATACAGCCTGTTAGTGGGTTAAAGAGGGTTAAGATGCACATGAAATACTATCAGGAGCTTGTCTTTGAAGAGTAAATCACAGTGTTGCTGTGCTGCCCCGAGGTCCTGTCCTGCCACGTGCGGGATGCCCTATATCCTGCTGGGGTCACCTCCACTGTTTGACAGGTTTTATCTCGGGCATACTGAACGCACACACACACACATGCACATAGTCAATTAATAAAGGAAACTTCTGCAGCCTACCCTTTGACACTGAAGGCCAAACGACAACATGTGTGTGGCATCAAAATGTGTGGTGTCTTGATAGGCGTGCTATAATGGAGCCACAGTTCTAATGTGGCAGACAGACATTTTAGGCTGCAGGAATCACAGCCATAATGATGTTTAGATTTGAGAAATAACAAAAATCAAAACAGAAAACAGGACTTTTCTTGAAATACCTGGCAAGAAAATGTTTTAGACTATGTTCTGCCTCAGTCCCTTGTTGTGTTTAGTCTAACATTTGAACTGTTAAGTTCAACAGTGATAACAAACACACTCTAAGCAGCTGGACTATCATAACAGCAGCCCTTTCAGCCATTGATAAGGCGCAAAATAGCCTTGTAGGTGATATCGAGGCACCAGGCTTTTGACCTTCCTGATCTACTAAACAAAATCACTG